TTTCCTGAATACGAGTCACCGGTGACTCGCACCGCACTGCCGTCGTCATGCTGTACGAGTCACCGATGACTCGTAAAGCAGTGAACATGTTAAGTAGACCTGGTGCACGTTCCCATGCTGACTCCTAAATGTCTTTTATGTTATGAAACCTTGTTGAGCAAACCTGGTGCATGGCATCATAAATATGTTAGATTCAGTGTATAGTTAAGGGGTAAAGGGATCAGAAGAAAAAAAATTTGAAATAAAAAGAAAATCTCGGAAGTTTCAGCAAATTATTCACGAAGTATTGATCAGGCAGAACCAAAGACAGTTCAGAAAGAACAAGGAATGGCACGAAAAGGAAACTGAGGGTGTAGTTTACCAATCTGGAGCATTCTGACCTGTTAAGTGCACTGGAGTGATGTTTGACCTCGTTCTACTTCGACTTCATTTTACTCGATTCGTGGTTTTCGTGAAAATTTCATTCTTCCAACGACTATAATTTTCTAATTCTGATGTGTCGATGAAATTAAGACAGGATGCTGAGTGATGTTTGACCTCGTTCTACTTCGACTTCATTTTACTCGATTCGTGGTTTTCGTGAAAATTTCATTCTTCCAACGACTATAATTTTCTAATTCTGATGTGTCGATGAAATTAAGACAGGATGCTATTGACATTGAATTGTGCAATGAACCATTAATACCGAAGTAAGTGTGTGTATCTGTCATTTTCTGGATAAAAGCTCAAAATGTTAAAATCTGAAATCTCGAAATTCAGTTATTCTGCCAAAACTCTATTATGGAGCAAAAAAGTGGTGGATTTTTCTAGTTAGTTGAATAAAATGGGCTATTCTCTACAAAATGCATCAAACTGGGCTCAATTTGGTTGAAAAATAAAGCTGCTGTAGCAGTCAACAGATTAATGCATATGTAATGAGGTTATCCGGTTACCATGGCAACCAGGTGTCAACAAATGGTGTGGTTTCAGGTTCTCTCCATCCTGTGTACATTATGAAGCAAAATAACTCAATTCCCACGAATGAAACTTATTAAACCAAGCCTGACTCCTTTACTCCCATAAAGGCAGAGGTGGAAATGTTCCTCTGCTTCCCGGTAACCATGATTTACCTTCCCAGTTTAGCGGGTGCGTGAAGTGACCCTGTATTTAGGGGCTGAGTAGAGACGAATGGTGCTCGGCAATAAATCAATTTTAAGCCACCACCTCTGATTCAATGAAAACTCCTATGTGTAGGCTCCTAATGCCCTTTTTCCCACTGTGCACTGGGGTAACAATTTGTGCCTGAAACATGCCATTTAAAAGGTTAAAGAGGCACTGTAAGCGATGTCGGACAGGGTCCGACATAGGACCACAAAAGGGTTAATATTATCAATAATAATATTATTAATATTATTAAATTATCCAAAACTCCCTACTTACCAATAGGGAGTTCGATAATTATAGACAACTATCCCTCAGGACAGCAACTGACACGTCCTCTTCGCCATCAGAGAAGTAGGATGCAATCCGGACATGAACTTCGGTTACTTTGCCATGAGAGACGGAGAGAAGCATAATTAGAAATTAGTATAAAGAAGCATAATATGTTGTTGGGGATAGTATGGTTGAAAAATAAAGCTGCTGTAGCAGTCAACAGATTAATGCATATGTAATGAGGTTATCCGGTTACCATGGCAACCAGGTGTCAACAAATGGTGTGGTTTCAGGTTCTCTCCATCCTGTGTACATATGAAGTAAAATAACTCAATTCCCACGAATGAAACTTATTAAACCAAGCCTGACTCCTTTACTCCCTTAAAGGCAGAGGTGGAAATGTTCCTCTGCTTCCCGGTAACCATGATTTACCTTCCCAGTTTAGCGGGTGCGTGAAGTGACCCTGTATTTAGGGGCTGAGTAGAGGCGAATGGTGCTCGGCAATAAATCAATTTTAAGCCACCACCTCTGATTCAATGAAAACTCCTATGTGTAGGCTCCTAGCAGGATCTAATGGGGAGTGCACATATGGGCATAGTCATTCAGAAGCTCTTGGCATTTAATAAAATAGGGAAAATGTCATTTGAAAGGGTTTTTAAAGGTTTTTCTGCAGAGGAGCACTTCAATCAATATTTTCATTTATGAACTGGAATATTGATTTTATTGAATTCATACTTCAAGCCTCCCCTTCTGTCTATTCAGTTGGTCAACGACCTCTGAAACACCATGTAATTTCAACTTCTATGCTTACTGCGTTCTTCGCAAGAAATGCAAGCTACTTCTTCCAAAATAGAGATCAAGAGCTTGAACTATGAGCTCTTTAGCTTGCCAAAGAGTTTAAGGATTCAATCAGGGCACTTTGTCGCTAGACACCGGCAGATATTCTCTCAGTGACAGGACATACGAATTGCTACGTACCAGGAGGTCTGGCACAGGACCACGTGCGTGAGGTGCAGAATCGAGAGAACGGGATGAAATTGGAGGGTACTCCGATAAGGGATGGAAATCAATGTATTCTCTCAACCCTGAGGCCAAATAAGGTCGCTTGAAAAAAGGCGTGAAGAGTATTAACCCTTTGCGGTTCATTTATTCGGAAGCTGGCTCCTCAGGTCCAATTTATTTTAATGGAAAAATAAGAAAGAACAATACAAGCAGTTTATCCCTTTGCGATCCTATGTCGGACGCTGTCCGACATCGCTTACAGTGCCTCTTTAACCCTTTCTGGCACGTTTTCAGACACAAATTGTTACCCCAGTGCACAGTGGGGAAAAGGGCATTTTCCTGGGCAAAATTGAAAAAATCGATTTTTTTTGCCTAATTCTGATACTTTACCCATCAATTACCAAATAACTGAACTTCAGAAAATTGCAATTACTTTAAAGAAAGCTGAAACCTTTTTCTTGATCTAACGCTGTAAACTCAACGAAAATCTGTTTATCTCTCCACGCCCTAATTTATTCAGGTTAGGAAGAAACCGACTTGTCCCAAGAATAAAATCGCGATTGATCTGTTCGGAACTGAGGGAGCCTTCGATGAATAAGTACTTTCATGGTGCATGATATGATATTCTAAGTTACATTATTACGAGCATGGTGCCTATTCTTCTCAACACTAATCTTCAATTATTGCTCCGCCATATTTTTGTTGTTCGCTGCAAAAAAAAGGCGATCGAGTGCGATGGAAATTTGGGCATTGCTGGGATTTAACGTTAGTATTTTAACAGCCACATGAATACTAGCTGCTACTTTGACAATAGGAGTCAGATATCATGCAGCATCTACAAAGTTTTCTTGCTCATGTATAGATATTCCAGGCATATGAAGAGTTCTTGACTCGAGTGGATAAGCAGCGTAGCATCAGCTGGTGACTCATAAGAAACATGGAACGCAACAAATTCACTCCAAATGTTCTGTTGATTACTTTCAGGAATCGCCCGAAATATCGGACGTATACATAAACTCCGTTCCAAAGGATCTCATATCGCTGACTTCTCATCGCATCACCTCGTGATCGAGTGCGATGAAGATTTGGGCGTTTCAGGTACGTAACGCTGGGGTTTCAGCAGGCACGGGAAAACTAGCTGCATGTTTGCTGATTCAACAAGAGAGTGAGATTTCACGCTGCTTCAACAATATCCCTCTCGCTACTTTTCTTGTATATCTGACTTCTAATCGCATCATGAGGCGACGCGATGAGAAGTCACTATGAGATCATTTGGAACGGTGATCTTTGTATAATTCGATATTTCGGTCGATTCCTGTAAGTAATCAACAAAAATTAGAAATTAATTTGTTGCGTTCCATATTTCTTCAAAATTCTATTATTTAATTTTGGCCAGGAAGATGCCCTTTTGTCCCACTGTGCACTGGGGTAACAATTTGTGCCTGAAACATGCCAGTTAAAAGGTTAAAGAGGCACTGTAAGCGATGTCGGACAGGGTCCGACATAGGACCGCAAAGGGTTAATATTATTAATAATAATAATATTATTAAATTATCCAAAACTCCCTACTTACCAATAGGGAGTTCGATAATTATAGACAACTATCCCTCAGGACAGCAACTGACATGTCCTCTTCGCCATCAGAGAAGTAGGATGCAATCCGGACATGAACTTCGGTTACTTTGCCATGAGAGACGGAGAGAAGCATAATTAGAAATTAGTATAAAGAAGCATAATATGTTGTTGGGGATAGTGAATGATGGAGGAATGGGACAGAGGAACTCTGGTCGTAGTCAATGGGTTGCAACATCTACATGCGACCATGATGAACAGACAGAGGAATCAAGAACGTTAGTCCAGTAGGCAAACTGGAAGAGACATTCCTACAGTGAAACCCCTTAAGGAAATAAAATTTAGTTGCAGTAGATTCACAAGGGGTAAATGCATTACATTCGAATATCTGGGAATTTGTGCGTTTACCAGATTGTACCAGAGCTGTGTATCACCGAGTCGACAATGCCTTTAGATTGGATGTCGTTTGAATACCATCTGCTGAGATCCATGGATATTACTCTCCGTTCCAAATCTGAAACGCGTAGCCAAACTGCCATTCGAAAATCCAGAACTTGAACGTCAAGTAATACGTTCGCGTCCCCGTCATGAAAAACGGGTAACCAAAACTCTCTATCAGTCACATGAGGATATCTTCCCGATTCCGCTCAGGGGCTTGATCCTTTCGCAGTCAGTCGTCATTTACCTTCTTTCAATCCATTACCATACCGCATCCCGAGCACTCCGACCGTCTCGTCTTCCCGCTCTTTTTGCATTATTTCCTTATTTTCCCTTCGCCTTTCTCAGTTTTTTTTTTCTCCCTGCCTTGCCTTCCCGGTAACCTGGTTACCAGGTTACAGAACTTTTACACCTCTGGTTAAATGAATCAAAAGTTCTTCAGTTCTCTGCTAAGACTTGTCTTGAATTGCTCATGTCTTCATTGGATGCTATCAGAACTAAAATCCTACACCCATGAGTGTATTTGCCGCATTTGTAGATTAATATTTTCATATATTTTTTAAGACTTTTATTTTGCAGCTGAGATACTGAGCACTGAAATGGCATGGAGGAATTTCATTGCTGGCAAAGAAGGAAGCACCAAAGAGACAAAAGCACATCACAAGGTGTCAGCCAGGGTATCAGCCAGTTGCACAGCAGCTCTCTCTGAAAAAAAAACCCAGATAGTCTAGATGAGCATTAATGGATTGAGTCTGTTGACTCATAGTAAGAATATCATCTGGCTTCTGATGTTGGGCCATATCAGGTGCATGAGATCCTGAAAGAAACGTTATTAAAGATAAGGGGAGAGATACCGCTTAACTTTTCTCTCTTCATTGCTTCTCATAGCAAACGTTAACCTTCATCTATGCTTCAACTTGAGTCTTGTTCTCTACCATAATAAATATTTCACTAACGGGCAGTCTCCAATTCTCACATCTTTAAGCCCTGTAATAATGTAAAGCTCCACAAAACAGACTTCATCATTTTGAATTATCAGAATCTCAGTAATGAGCATGTTTCTGAAGTACTTGAAAACATGGATTTCTTAGCAATTCATAATATACGAGGGTCAGTCAAGTGAAAACGAGAAAATCGCGATATATAATAATTCCCTATTGATGGACGTCCATTACTTCCAACGTATGTTTACAGAGATTGTGTGAACATCTGTCAAAGCTGGCAACACCATGCGATCAGAAAGAACAGCGCAATCGCTTAGGCAACATGGCGCTCAGTGCCTTGTACGTCCAAGGAAGCCTGGCGGGCAGTAATTCAATTTCTGACTGCTAAAAGGCGTGCCACCCATCGAAATCCATTCCCAAAAGAGCACTGTTGACACCAGCAGCTTTTTAAGTATACAAGTACAAGTGGTGCAAACGTTCCCGAAGCAGGCGCGAGAGTTTGAAGGATGACTCACGCCCAGGTTAGGTCAACGATGTCGCCACAGAAATTATCACAAAGGTGGACGAGCTCATAAGGAGCAACAGAAACGTTTCACTTGATGAATTGACTGTAGATTTGGGATCAATTCATACCATAATCCGCATCCAGCATAGCATTACGTCTACCCACGAATGATGAAGTGTAGAAGGCTGTCACATGGCGGTTCAAACAGCAACCATATACATTTTACGAGGCTGGTGTAAACAATATTGCGAAGCGTTGGAATCTGTGCTCAAAAATGGTGGGGAAAACGTTGAGAAATAATACACTCACTGCAGGGAAAAAAATTCTCGTTTCCACTTGACTCGCCCATGTAGTTTATGAAATTGCAACATGCAACTTTGTCTTCATGTGAAAAATGTAAAGGAATGGCTAAGTTATACAGGAGTTTTGTGAGCGAAAATTCACGCCTGAATTCCAGATAAGCAAAAACGAAGTCCCATTGACAGCATTTTAGGCTGTAGGATGAATTGTTCCAGAGCTGAAAGGAGACTGACCTAGGTCAATCCCTCCCTTTGGTAGGTGTAAGTCCCGAAAGAAGCATGCTAATAACCTTGATGCCCACCAGTGCATCAACAACAAGCAATACCACCGACATGCATAACCAATATACCACACTAGACAACAGTGTTTTTGCTAGTGAATTTGTACCACCTTCAACATTGTGCATGGTAACTGTATGGAGCATCCAATGCAGCAGCAGAGGTCCAACTATCGTTTCCATTTCAGAGGATAGATGCCTCCTCCCTCCTGCTTCAGAGAGTCACATTATATCAATTGGTCAGACACTTGGGAGCTGTCATACAACATAGATGATGTTGCAAGACCAGTATAAAAGGACAGACGAGTTGTTGAGTCATAGGATTGCCAAGCACCAGGCTAGACAGTCATACACTCTGATTTCCTGAGCCCTGGACATAACATCAATAACTTGTCATTAGTAACAATATGACAAGCATTCCACAAGACCGGTGGAGAAAAGAAGAGAGGAAATCATCAAACAAAGCTGTCTCCATATCAGTAAAGACCACTCATTGACCTTGTTCAAAATCAAAACAGCTTGACTTTGCCTGTGAGCATTCACAATGTTCAAGGTCTAGTCTCTTGCAAATGAAATTTTTCTCTTTTTCAGCGACTGTTTCACTACGTAGTACAGGGTTTTAGGTCTTTGTCTGTTCTACAGTAGAGACTCCACTTTTTTTAACTACGTGTCACGTTACTTCCTGAACCTTTAGGTACTTAAGTAAATACTTTTCTTCTATAGATACAACTTTTTAACTCCTCATTAAGGGCGCACTTCCATTTTTATAGATGAAAGCCTTAAAAACCAGAACATCCACCCAAGACTCAGCTGAAACAAAACAGTCAGTATAACATTGATACTTTTGTTCTGTCCAGGAGTCCAAACGTATTTGTTCCCATCTCACCATCATTATTTGACATCAATTTATATTGTGCAGGTGTACGACTTGCATTGTCTTCAATTCCTGAGGGGGCAATGTGACCCTCCTTGAGGCAGTGTCTTCCAATGGATTTGTCAACCATGTCTTGAATGTGAATGCCACAAATGGGAGCATTTTCTTTCATCTTATAGAGGAATTGGCACTCATGCTTGAGTGTCCCATAAATAGGGCTAGTCATTCCCCTTTCCTCAATCCTATAGAGCTGGGATATCCAACTCAATTTGGCAGAGATCGAATGATTTAGTTCAGGTGTGTTTGGGGGCCTCACTAACGAATCTCACACCACATATACATTTTAATGCAAACAAGTGATATTTGCAGCAATTTTCCAAAATCAACTGTTAAAGAGGAATTCGCAGGTAGGAGAAAATGAATTGGTGGGTCAGATCCGGCCCATGGGCCGCCAGCAGGACACCCCTGCTATAAAGGAAATCTTCCACATCAAGGTATATTCTTGGCTTGTTCTTTCATTCCAAGCCTCGACATTCTCCAATCCACTGTAGTTCACTCTACATACATTAGATGTCACCCAGGAGCTGTGATAAAACCTCTACTGCTGAGGTTGGGGGGATTCCTCCATAGAAAAGCATGAACCTCATGTTAAAGGTGGTACAAATTCATTTGCAAAATATTGTACTATTTTAACTGAAAAATTCCTGTCATCTTTTAGCTTCTTCACCTAAATACTGAACCAATGTATGTCCTTGTAGAAGCAGGTACAACACCAGGGTTAGAAATGTTTCAAAAGCACCCCATTGGTAAAAAGTTTCAAGGACAATGATCATGCTTACCAGTTCGTTTTTTATCCTTTTTGGCTTTCCGAGCAAGCTTCTTCATGTGCACCCTCCTGACCATGTTTAGCCGTTGGTTCCCAGGCTCTAAGGGATCAAGGAACTTTTTTCTTGCTCTCTCTCGTTCTACCTTCTTTTTGATCTTCTCCAGCAACTTCTCTTCATGCTTTTAAAAAACAAGGTATCTTTGAAAATATGTCCTTTTCATCGACTATATACCTCTTCTTGCAAGGTGAGGGACTAGTCTACTTACAGCTGTGCTTGTCAATGAGCGAGTCACTGCCTTGCTGTACGACTCTTCCCTCTCTTCTCCCTTGCCTTCCTGGTCATTACCATCATCTTCCTCCTCTTCCTTGGCAGATTTTGACTCGCAATTTAAGGAAGATGCAGTATGTTGAGTCTCTGTCACCAAAGGTTGGATCTCCATAGTATCCATGGTAGGAACCACTGGCAATGCAGTGAAGATCTTGTCCTCTGTCTCCATCAAATCTTCTAACCGGAATTCATTAGCCATTTCCTTCACAATTTCAGCACTTACATGCACTAATGGAGCTTCTGGTGGTTCTGTGTAGTACTTGATCCTGCCACTGCAACAGTGTAAGGAATAGTACAATATGTAATCAATGTTTTCTTTTCATTGCTTTTGATTTTTAATAGGAAAGCAGAGGAATGACTTTAAACATGCATCACCTGTTCCAATGCTTGAGGATCTGCCTGGCAGATTTATCAACATCAGGGATCCCACCTTTCTTGAGATAGCCAAATCGCTTAGCCAAGACCTGAAGAAATTCCTCAGTTGTCTTGAAGTCTGGCAGGCGATATTGAAGCATTAGCTGAAAATGTGATCAACAACAGATGGTCTCATTACCTTTGAAATTGGCAAGTATACCTTTTCTGCTACAACTTTTGAAACCTTCACCACATCACATTAACTTTTTCACTAAAGTTGTCGCATTTTCTTGCCTGGTAATACATGCTTCAGGGATTTCAAGGTTTTTAAATTCCACAGCAAAAGAATTAAACTCAACCAAACCAGGATGTTATTGGATCCATCAATATAAACTTCTGCTATATGTATAAACTTTGGCTGCAGGACCATTCCAGCCCAAATCAGCAAGAGGGTGAGCTCAGTCATTTTTTGCTTATATAAAAATTGACAGATATTTGGAGGAATTCATTTCAAGAAAGCATGTTTAGATATCTTATATCAATCTCTGGTATCAGGATTTGAATGTCACCTGTTTTGGCTCCCAATGCCTATCTACAGCAGAACTGTGAAAGTGTAATAGCAATAACTTCTCTTGCCATAAAGATTTTGAGGTGCAGAGCTTGTTTTGCAAACTACCNTCACATTAACTTTTTCACTAAAGTTGTCGCATTTTCTTGCCTGGTAATACATGCTTCAGGGATTTCAAGGTTTTTAAATTCCACAGCAAAAGAATTAAACTCAACCAAACCAGGATGTTATTGGATCCATCAATATAAACTTCTGCTATATGTATAAACTTTGGCTGCAGGACCATTCCAGCCCAAATCAGCAAGAGGGTGAGCTCAGTCATTTTTTGCTTATATAAAAATTGACAGATATTTGGAGGAATTCATTTCAAGAAAGCATGTTTAGATATCTTATATCAATCTCTGGTATCAGGATTTGAATGTCACCTGTTTTGGCTCCCAATGCCTATCTACAGCAGAACTGTGAAAGTGTAATAGCAATAACTTCTCTTGCCATAAAGATTTTGAGGTGCAGAGCTTGTTTTGCAAACTACCAGCCCAAAGAGGTTGGATACGTCTCAACCCTCTCTACCTTAGGTACCGATCTATACAAGATGTAGTACTGTTGGGTTTTCGACCAAGGTGTATAAATCTTTTACGTCGGTTCACTTTCTCCCCTTAACCAATGGAAAGGAGAAAGCTACCATATGAAGAGACAGCTGAGAAAGTACAAGACTAATACTAAAGGAGGCCAACTCTTGGGGTTGGCCTCTACCTAATGCATTAAAAGCCAAAGACTGCCAAAGACCATTTTGCAAATGCACAGTCTTCAGCTTTCACTTTTACTTCAGAAGTAAAGGCTGAGGCATGAACCTCCTAAAGGGCAGGTCTTGGATAAGAGCAACTTTCCTGCCTGTTTACATAATTGCTAATTTGTTAAATTCATTGTACAACTTATAGTTGCTTATATATTACCTGCTGCCTGGTACACTGTTTCTTAAATGAAACACAGGTCGTCCAATACCACAAGTACCGATTAATATATTGATGTCACGAAGAGAACCGAACCAGAACGTATACGTCTAAGTAAGGAATGTGAATTTTTACAGTATGGTAACCTTGAAAAGTTTTGTGATTCTTACACGAGTGATGCCACAGTGGCAATGTAAAACAATGCAATGATGCAAGTGCAATGATGTTCTTTACAAGCAGAGACCAGAGATTGAACTCAAAACAAATGGAGTTCCACCAATAGTCAGTCATCACTATCCAGAGGTATTTTTAATTATGGTAATCCATATGTTAATGTGAATACATTGCACTGCTGGGTGAACCATGTGAACTGTAAAGAAAGTGAGAGTAGAGATTGGCCATGTAGCACTTGGCAATCAACAGCTGTGATTGGTGAATACATATCAATCTCAAATCTCAGTTTCTCCACAGTTGAAACAATTCACCCAGCAATACCAAGTACTCATGTTGACAAATGCATCACCACAAAAAAACCTTCATATGACAATGAATATCTATTAGTGGGACAATATCAATCTCAAATCTCAGTTTCTCCACAGTTGAAACAATTCACCCAGCAATACCAAGTACTCATGTTGACAAATGCATCACCACAAAAAAACCTTCATATGACAATGAATATCTTTTAGTGGGACTCCTTCACTTGCAAGAAAATAAATTGCAGCTTAGATTAGAGGAAATATCTGACCGGTAAAATTCTCATTTGCCAATGCGTTTACATTGATGTGGCAAAGGTTTAAACATGGAACAGACTTATCAAAACAACAAAAATGTTAGCATGGTCATACCTTGTAGACCCTTTGAGAATTGGGAACCAACCTGTTTCTTTGAGGCTCTCTGAATGAGTCCTTCAACGGGGCTGATGGGGTCAGGAAGTGATTCCACACGAATAGCATTTTTCAAAGCAACTTGGCATGGATCCAGGCCATCAGAGGAGGCAAGGACCATCCGACCCGACAGATTATTGACCTACACGAACAGGTTGACTTGGTAGACGTATCTGGATTAATTTATATTGGTACGATGTAATGATAGTCCCGAAGAATTAATCCTACGATGACCTTTAGTGAAAAAGGTTAAGCATTTAAATATAGAGACCTCAGGATCCACACAATCATAATAGCACTACTTCATCTAAATCACTGTCTGGACATCCTGCCTGGATCCATTTCCCCCTAATTGAGGAGAAACACTACAAACAATTTACTTTTTGCCTACTAAGGAAAAGCTCCAGCATGTGGGACACCTTGCAAGACCCATTTTCAGGATGCTGCTCCTCAAAACAACAGCAGCATTGGCCAACTGAAATCTATATAGTCCTCACATTCTTCTGATTCTCCCATATGGAGCTAAACATTGATGATCACTGAGTAAGTTGAATAGAAAACTGACACATGCTACCTACATAACCAAGGATACAGGCTACACCCCCCCTTACTACAAGCTTTATTGGCAAATATTCACTAGTCCCCTTCTGCAACTCCAAGACACTGGAATCCTTCCTGTTGATGTGGCACCCCAAATGACAGGAACTACTTGACTGTTACCAGTAAAAATCCTTACTGTGACCTATTGGCTTGAAAATGTCACCTGGTGATTAAACATAATCTCCCTGGTGACCCAGCAATTAGGATACTTCAAGTCCTTAGAATATTCCCTTTCAGTTTACCCAAGAATTTACCTTACCAAAGTAGTAGACAACTGGTAAAAGGAGGCACTGACAAGAGGTAATATACCCTGAAATGTTTTTATGCGCATGATATCACAAACAAGAATGGATGTGGATGAATCACATATCAGCAGGTGTGAGGACTAATGCCAAAGGTGGAAAATGGCAAGGGGACAGGTTAATGAATTCTTATCCAATATTTCTCACTATCTATCCACTATCAATGTTTTCCACACCAACTTATAAGATTTATAACACTGATTCTTCATACTAGTTTTTGCATGGAGGAGGAAACACTTTATTATGTTTTATTGGAAAATAAGTAAGCAGGTGTGGCAGGATACCTAATATCAAAATTTTGTGCAGTTGGTATGATGAAAAAAACATTTTTTTTTACATATTATCCAATGTTGTTCTTAATATGGCTTCTTTGGGTTTCATCCAATGATGTGAAGCTTTACTAGTTTGACCAACAAATCAGATTGAGCAAGTACTACAGTATAAATAACCCTCTAACTTCCAGTTTATAGACAAGCAAAGAATGAATGCTGTTTGTAATAGCAATGCACTAACAAGTATAGTTAACCAGTTAAGTTAACCACTGCATTAGGCAGCTGATCTAATGGCACAATTTTTAATATCAGAAATGCAAACCAAGTCTTATGCAAGTCTTCTCATTTCTATCACAGATTCTCTTGCAGTTTTCAACCACTTTCCTTTTTTTTCTTCTTACTGTTTTCAGCTGGGAATAGTTACAGACCTAGCAAGTCAATGTTAACTTTTACATACACCTGACAGGATTCACCTTACTTTGCAAGACCAGAGTTGACCCCAGCAGAACACAAAAAAACTTAAAGTAGTATATTTATCCTGTGAAGCAGAATTACTATTCTCTCTCTCTTTCAAGTTCTTTCATTTGCTAAGCCAATAATTGTAGAAAAAGTGACTGATAGGTAACCTGCTTTACAAGTGCCTCTCTATCTCCTCTTACCTCTAATAAGAAATAACATCCTCCTCCTGTCTGAATGACTGAGCTTGGTGGGAAAAACTCATTTTTTTGTGTAACTTGTTTCTTAGGACTTCCACACCCACAATTTCTGCACAACTGAGGCTGAGTACCTTCAAAGTCTACAATATTTTTGCAGTGAAATAAAAACCTGTTGAAGCCAAGAGAAGAAATGTTGGACTCAGTTTAAAACACTATATGGAGAATGGTTCTGAACCAAGTATTGCCAAAAAACATTATCATGCATCCTGCCCACATATGGAAATATGATTTGATAAACAAGCAATGAAAGATACCCATGCTTTTCATTTGTCAGGAATTTTTTCATTTGACTTGGGCACTTCCTATGCATGAATGATCGAGTTTAGTGAAAAAATTCCTGACATAAATGATAAACAATGCTGACATATACACAGAATGAGACAAAAAAAAAGGCCTCTCTCGAAAAGCAGGCTCACTGAAGATGACAGGATGAGTTTCTCACTTGGTCACTCCAGGAATGGCACCCACACTACATGCTTTTGAATGCTTGAGACTGTTAATCACACTGCTCTTCCCCACATTTGGATAACCTGAACAAAGAGAAGAAAAAAGCAAACCTGACTTATTGCAAGCAATAAGCCAAACAAATAACAAGATAATCCATGGGGGTAAGGCCTGAACTGAACACCTGACACTGATTGAACAACTCACACAACCATTCTATACACATGAAATAATACATGCCAAAAATTTGTGTGTGAATACAATTCAATGCATGCAAGTGAAGTGACTAGCAGAAATCTGCAACATAAACTCTAGACAAAATGTAATGTTTCTATGGTGTGGATGGCCATTAAAAAATTACCAAACCACATACTGACCTACAACTCCAACAACAATGCTTGTCTTCAAGCCCTTGTTCCTTGTATAGTTCCCCAGGAGCTGCATCAAAGAATCTGCTCCAAGGCATACAGATGACTGCCGCAGGCCTTCACTGGCCAGCTCCGGGTTCTTGCGCTTTCGAATAAATGTGTCAGACCCTTCTGACACTGATGCCTTGAAGGCAATAGTAGGGAACTCCCTACGCAAGTATTTCAGCCATCGCTGAAGATTCTCTTTGGGAACCAGATCTATGAAGATTGGAATAAATTAGCATGACAGACCACAAGCAAAGAGTAGGTCCTACTGGTTCGAGTGGAAAGGTGAGACAGACCAGCCTTGTTTAGAACAAGTATGAGTCGTTTGGCAGTTCCACAAGAAAGCACAGTCTCTTCAAGGAGTTTGCTTCGGGACCCCAAAGGATCTCGAGCATCAAGTACTTCCAACACCACATCTGCCGCTTCTAGTACCTGCAGAAAAAACCCAGCAAAACTCATCCATCAAGATCTTTCTCAGTACTCTCAATCAAGTTCTTATTTTCCTCCTAATAGGCAATGAAGTACCATGCCAGAAGAAAGACTCACAAGGCTTTCAAAACCTGCACTCACACTACTCACATTTATTCAATATTAAAAGGGAAAGTGCTTCATGAGATCAACTTTTCATTATGAGGTTCAATCTTATTTTCACTTGATTACAGTTCACTTGTTGCTCTCATAAAAGTTAATAGGAGCGAGCTAGCCACTTTTTTGTTCAGGATGGGACGCTTTAAGGAATATCATTCGAAAACATCTTCTTCACTGTTACCTCCTCCGGAACAAAGGTAGTCTTCAAACTCATCGACACCGTTACCGTAGTACAACGTGTCGAACGGATTCAGCTCTCTCAACAAGGGATTCTAGGCTCAGACCCCTCTCCTTAGCTAAGCGCTCTTCCCGTTGCTTTTTCCGTAGTTCCTGAATAATGACAACAGGATATCAATGTTGCCTACATGAGATTTTCCTTGTCAGTGAAACTGGGCTGTCTAATAACTGGATGTGCTTGTCCAACTGAACCATCTGCATAGACCTAATTAAATATAACCATGCTACATTACTATCAGGGCTTCTTAATTAGGATGCTACTGGAAATCACTTTTTCCAAAAGCACTTGAATATAGAGACCTCAGGATCCACACAATCATAATAGCACTACTTCATCTAAATCACTGTCTGGACATCCTGCCTGGATCCATTTCCCCCTAATTGAGGAGAAACACTACTAACAATTTACTTTTTGCCTACTAAGGAAAAGCTCCAGCATGTGGGACACCTTGCAAGACCCATTTTCAGGATGCTGCACCTCAAAACAACAGCAGCATTGGCCAACTGAAATCTATATAGTCCTCTCACATTCTTCTGATTCTCCCATATGGAGCTAAACATTGATGATCACTGAGTAAGTTGAATAGAAAACTGACACATGCTACCTACATAGCCAAGGATACAGGCTACACCCCCCCTTACTACAAGCTTTATTGACAAATATTCACTAGTCCCCTTCTGCAACTCCAAGACACTGGAATCCTTCCTGTTGATGTGGCACCCCAAATGACAGGAACTACTTGACTGTTACAAGTAAAAATCCTTACTGAGACCTATTGGCTTGAAAATGTCACCTGGTGATTAAACATAATCTCCCTGGTGACCCAGCAATTAGGATACTTCAAGTCCTTAGAATATTCCCTTTCAGTTTACCCAACTTAAATGGAATGGTTTCATGTAGACAACTGGTAAAAGGAGGCACTGACAAGAGGTAATATACCCTGAAATGTTTTTATGCGCATGATATCACAAACAAGAATGGATGTGGATGAATCACATATCAGGTGTGAGGACTAATGCCAAAGGTGGAAAATGGCAAGGGGACAGGCTAATGAATTCTTATCCAATATTTCTCACTATCTATCCAGTATCAATGTTTTCCACACCAACTTATAAGATTTAGAACACTGATTCTCCATACTAGTTTTTGCATGGAGGAGGAAACACTTTATTATGTTTTATTGGAAAATAAGTAAGCAGGTGTGGCAGGATACCTAATATAAAAATTTTGTGCATTATGACAAAAAAAACATTTTTTTTACATATTATCCAATGTTGTTCTTAATATGGCTTCTTTGGGTTTCATCCAATGATGTGAGCTTTACTAGTTTGACCAACAAATCAGATTGAGCAAGTACTATAAATAACCCTCTAACTTCCAGTTTATAGACAAGCAAAGAATGAATGCTGTTTGTAATAGCAATGCACTAACAAGTATAGTAGCCCTTATCTATTCATAGCCATGTACACCACTGCATTAGGCAGCCAATCTAATGGCACAATTTTTAATATCAGAAATGCAAACCAAGTCTTATGCAAGTCTTCTCATTTCTATCACAGATTCTCTTGCAGTTTTCAACCACTTTCCTTTTTCTTCTTCTTACTGTTTTCAGCTGGGAATAGTTACAGACCTAGCAAGTTGATGTAAACTTTTACATACACCTGACAGGATTCACCTTACTTTGCAAGTCCAGAGTTGACCCCAGCAGAACACAAAAAAACTTAAAGTAGTATATTTATCCTGTGAAGCAGAATTACTTTTCTCTCTCTCTTTCAAGTTCTTTCATTTGCTAAGCCAATAATTGTAGAAAAAGTGACTGATAGGTAACCTGTTTTACAAGTGCCTCTCTACCTCCTGTTACCTCTAATAAGAAATAACATCCTCCTCCTGTCTGAATGACTGAGCTTGGTGGGAAAAACTCTTTTTTGTGCAACTTGTTTCTTAGGACTTCCACACCCACAATTTCTGCACAACTGAGGCTGAGTACCTTCAAAGTCTACAATATTTTTGCAGTCAAATAAAAACCTGTTGAAGCCAAGAGAAGAAATGTTGGACTCAGTTTAGAACACTATATGGAGAATGGTTCTGAACCAAGTATTGCCAAAAAAAACATTATCATGCATCCTGCCCACATATGGAAATATGATTTGATAAACATGGAATGAAAGATACCCATGCTTTCCATTTGTCAGGAATTTTTTCACTTGACTTGGGCACTTCCTATGCATGAATGATCGAATGAGACAAAAAAAAAAGGCCTCTCTCGAAAAGCAGGCTCACTGAAGATGACAGGATGAGTTTCTCACTTGGTCACTCCAGGAATGGCACCCACACTACATGCTTTTGAATGCTTGAGACTGTTAATCACACTACTCTTCCCCACATTTGGATAACCTGAACAAAGAGAAGAAAAAAAACAAACCTGACTTATTGCAAGCAATAAGCCAAACAAATGACAAGATAATCCATGGGGGTAAGGCCTGAACTGAACACCTGACACTGATTGAACAACTCACACAACCATTCTATACACATGAAATAATACAGGCCAAAAATTTGTGTGTGAATACAATTCAATGCATGCAAGTGAAGTGACTAGCAGAAATCTGCAACATAAACTCTAGACAAAATGTAATGTTTCTATGGTGTGGATGGCCATTGAAAAATTACCAAGCCACATACTGACCTACAACTCCAACAACAATGCTTGTCTTCAAGCCCTTGTTCCTTGTATAGTTCCCCAGGAGCTGCATCAAAGAATCTGCTCCAAGGCATACGGATGACTGCCGCAGGCCTTCACTGGCCAGCTCCGGGTTCTTGCGCTTTCGAATAAATGTGTCAGACCCTTCTGACACTGATGCCTTGAAGGCAATAGTAGGGAACTCCCTACGCAAGTATTTCAGCCATCGCTGAAGATTCTCTTTGGGAACCAGATCTATGAAGATTGGAATAAATTAACATGACAGACCACAAGCAAAGAGTAGGTCCTACTGGTTCGAGTGGAAAGGTGAGACAGACCAGCCTTGTTTAGAACAAGTATGAGTCGCTTGGCAGTTCCACATGAAAGCACAGTCTCTTCAAGGAGTTTGCTTCGGGACCCCAAAGGATCTCGAGCATCAAGTACTTCCAGCACCACATCTGCTGCTTCTAGTACCTGCAGAAAAAATCCAGCAAAACTCATCCATAAAGATCTTTCTCAGTACTCTCAATCAAGTTCTTATTTTCCTCCTAATAGGCAATGGAGTACCATGCCAGAAGAAAGACTCACAAGGCTTTCAAAACCTGCACTCACACTACTTACATTTATTCAATATCAGAAGGGAAAGTGCTTCATGAGATCAACTTTTCATTATGAGGTTCAATCTTATTTTCACTTGATTACAGTTCACTTGTTGCTCTCATAAAAGTTAATAGGAGCGAGCTAGCCACAAAAAAAACAAGTCCTACCCTGCGAAATTCCTTATAGTAAGCTTTTGTAGAAGAAGTGACAATGGAGGAGGCCTTGTTTCCATCAGAAGTTTGAGTAGCTGTGGCAATGGCATCATGTTGCACAGCTTGAAACAAGGGATTCTAGGCTCAGACCCCTCTCCTTAGCTAAGCGCTCTTCCCGTTGCTTTTTCCGTAGTTCCTGAATAATGACAACAGGATATCAATGTTGCCTACATGAGATTTTCCTTGTCAGTGAAACATATCACTACAATTAAACAAACTTTTAGTTCCTCCCTTCGCTTTATTTTCTGCTCTTCAGCTGTCCTTTTTGATTGCTCTGCCTCATTCAGGATCTTCTCCTTGAAAGGGCAGGAGTTTGGAACACCTGGATCCTTTGTACTCTTATTTCTGTCTGAAATAAAAAAATATATACAGAAATATATGCATATATTGGGCAGTGCAAAAAAACTCATCCTGTTTGACACCTCATGAAGCCAACTGTGGAAATTTTAGATTTGTAAATTTTCTTAATCACATTGGAAACCCTAAAAAAAATTTGGGGGGGAATTTTTAAGCTTCAAGGTTATATCTTGGTAAAAAAGTGACAGTTATTCAAAGTGTAGTCATAAAATGTAACTTTTTTGCATGAGGTGGCAATCTAAACTCATTAAAAATCACTCATTTTATGCCATGAAGACTGTTTTTATGTTATGTCCTTGTCTCTTGTTTGTATAGTGCATCTGAATCTCATGTGAGTAGGTGAGACCTGAATTTGAGGGTGTGCAACCCCATGTCCCTGACCTCTCCCTTCACTTATCACTCTCAAAGGATAGTTTAGTACCTGAGTCAAGACACGTCAGAGAAGGAAGAGGTTGGGAATTACGTCTCTGAAGGGGAATTTTTCTATGTACATGGAACTGAATAGTCATGGACATTGCAATAAGAATGAAGCCATGAGAAGCAGGCTTTTTGGAAACAAACAGGACACATCTGTAGAGCACTGCTGAAACAGTTGTCTCCTGATACGTGGAAGTGTGTAATTTTATTTTTTAAGTTTCTGAGACTGCTACTTTTGCCCAAACTACCTAGAGACTTTAAAATCTTCAAGAAACAAATTTTAGGTAGTGTTTACTGTGTGATACAAAAATGAAACAAATCTAGCAGCTCTCCAGTAGGTTTTATCAAGCCTCAAACTGGATGCATTATTTTTGTAACACCCAATATATAAATGGTACGGCAAAAAAAAAAATTATCATTGACTTTCAACTTAAATATCTCTGCTCACAAGAGAGACCTTTTGGTGAAACTTTCACTTGACTTTTACTTTCACATTACATATATGTTTCAGTTGATGCATAAAATTTCTCCTTAATATGTTGTGCCAAAGCAATACTATCAGTAATTATTGAAAAGAAATTAGATATTGAGAATGGACAAAAGCTCCTGTGGTAGTGGAGTGAAAGAAACACTAGAGCACTGTCCTTTCTGGTCATCAAGACCATGTTGACCTCCTCTTCTGTTTAAATTCATTCATCAGTTGTCTCTTGCAGATGGGTTTCGAAAATTGCTTATTTCCAATGAATAGTAGATGAATCAATGACTATCTATCCAGAGAGTTTTCTCAATGTTCATGAGTATTTTCCCTAATTTTTTTATTCAGAGGAATTGTCCATTTCAAAAGTCAGACTTGTCACTTATAGAATATTATTTTAAACTTTTACCAGAATAAATGGATTCTACAATCTTGTTGACTTTAAATAAAGGAAAACATGCTACATCCTCAGTAAATTTGGTGAGATATGACTTAAGCATTCATGTGATGTATTAAAAGTTTTTATTATTTTTTGTCATACCCTGCATATCTCAATGTGCATCTTATACATGAATGACTAGCATGTTCCTTACTAGAGGTGAATAACGAAACCAAAAGGATGGAGCAGGAAAACCATACTCTTGGCAGCATCAGCACCTGACTAATCAGATGAAATGGAGATGACTTCAAGTCATGTTCAACATATTGATGGCATCCACTGTTAGGTCACAGGCAATATGTATTCTGGGGTATAAAGTTAGAATGAGCTCACCTTTATTTTTTCTTGCTTCCTTCTTCACCTTTCTCTGGTGTTCCCTGACTTTCTTCTGAATCTTATATCTCCTGTTTGCAGGCATCCGTTTGCTCTTCTTCTCTGAAAGGAGCAATTTCATCATATTAGCTTGTATCAACATTAAGCTCAATGTTCAATTAAGCTCATTGTTCATCCCAAACCTCTGTTGTTCGGGTCCGTAATTTAATTCGAGTTCTGGAAACGGATAATGTTGATGTGGTTCCGGAGATAATGTACGTCCGAATTAGTATTCAACCTTTATACTTCTCTTTTTCATCACGTCGTATTCTACATACCAAAAAAAATTTACTTTAAAAAGTCTGCATATGAAGAAGTGAAGAAAGAAGGAACTAGATGTAACCAAAACAGGCCTTAAGCCCTTCACTGGCACAGAAGAGCTGGTCTCGTCCCAAAAACAACTTGTGTCTGAAAACATGCCAGTGAAGGGGTTAAAGCCATAAATGCCTATTGTAGCAGATATGTTTGGCTTCTTTTCTCTCCTATTTTTCATATGCAGTCTTTCCCTTATGAATTTATTTGCATCTACTGACAACAGCACATTTAGGTTGTAAGCCTAACAAGGCATATACACTGTTTCTAAACTGAATTCATACTCCCAAGAGTAGAGGATAATTGAAAGCGCAATACTTTCAGAGGATATGCTTCATCAATGATCCACAAAACCACTCAAGCAGAACATGTCACTATCAGCAATTGATGGGAAGTGGGGGGGAAGGTACTAATTCAATCCAACAACTGTGTCTTAGAGAGTACAGGTGATGATATCCATAGGATTCAGAGAGCACATAGGCACAATATTAGGTCTCACTCTCTTGTTTCCACCTAATGGAGTGGAGGACTAAGTAATGCTGGGTGCAGAGAAAATAAAGCAATGATGTCTAAATTTTTTCATCAGGAAATTGGGGCATTGCTAAAGTTTTGTATACCTCTGGAAATATGTACCTAAGTTTTTTCTTCCATATGAAATTTTGGTAATTAAATATCACTGGTGAACTCCCAATGAGGAGAGACAAAGATAAAATGCAAAAGCAACCCTCCCATAGCACATATTCACCACTCCAGCCACAGAAGTCTCTGAATGGCAAGTTTCTACTAGAGTCCTATGATCTCTATGCTGCCCTCCTCCTTCAGCAGCAGCCATACAATGGAAGAAACCAGTAGTGGTGCCATTGTCTTGCACTACACCACCCACTTCCTATACTACTAGATGACAAGGCTCAGACTGATATTCCCAACAGATACTTAAGGTAACGGTTCAGTACATACCCCCTGGAGAAATTTCACTCCCCTAGTCTTCAATGTTTCTAGATGAATTCCACTGGAAACATGCCACATCCATTGGGATTCCTTTTATTTATAATATACACAAACCTAACCTCCTTTAACTTTAGGGGCAACACAATATTCTTAGGGGGTATGCACTTAACTGTGACTGCTCAATGGTGTTTCCAAAAAAAACTGAAACTGACTAACTCTACTGACTCCTCATGCAACACCCTATATAGTGACTTCATGTCAATCATGCCAGCATATTCCTTTATTTAATGATAAACCTTTCCTTCTAAACTGAAAGAAAGTTTTTAAAACTCCAATTTCTTTCTACCTTCAATGCCTAGCAAAGGTAGCAGTAGGCTGTAAGGTAGGTGGAGTGTTGAATCATTGAAGATTTGTATTGATCAGAGGAATGGGAATTACTCTCCCAAACCGTTTAGACTAGTCTATCCTGGAGTTGGATTGGAGAAAGAAATTAATAGTTTTAATCAGTTACCCACCAGGATTCCCTCCTAATTTGTCTCAGTCCACAAACAACACAGCTTAATTTCCATGTCATTGTTACTCTAGTATTTTCGACTGAAAAGGACATTGAATCGGTTATTCCAGTTCCCGTACTTTTGAAAGGATCCCGTTGACAAGACTCGGTAAACTTATCTATTACTTTATCTTACCACGTAGGATAATGGGTTCAATAGTATAACTTAAAAAAAAATAATGTTAACATCTTCAGACTAAGCTGCATATATACATACCAAATTCTATTACTTTTACCTTCCTTGAGCCCGAGGAGGTTAAGAAGACAGGTTAAGCAAATGCAGTAACCCTAGTGATACAGATTATGATGGGTAGCAGTACTCAAACTTTAATTCATAACAGCACCCTTTTCAGACTGAGATACTGGTGATAGAATCCCTGCAAATCCATGAACCTCCAAGCACAATAATAAAAGCCTAACCAGGGTCTCTGAATTCAATTGCAACAGGCTTATTTTGAACTGTCATTAGGCTAAACCATAAAAAAATTGAAGTAGTTGAATGCTTTTTTTTGTATTTAACTAAAGTATTCAACCTCTTCAATTTTTTTCACTCCAATCCAATGCCATACCTGCATCTGTCATTGGTTGCACAGAAAATCAAATAGCAAAAAGGAATCTACATCATTATTGCAGCAACAATATTGATCTTGATATTCCTCCTTGATAAATACTCCACTAATAAGGGTATACTAAGAGTACACAAAACGAGCCATTTTTTAATAAAAAATGACTCTTATTGGATATTCCTGGAATAAGGAGAGAAGGCTGTAGTCAGAAGTCGAAATGTCACACTTTATATGCAGTTCCTCAGAAGAGGTTTCCCGCCCGCTCTGCATAGTGCTTCTCAAATGACTTCTGGGGTTTTTTGCACTACTTTTTCGATAGGCCCAGAAAAAACTTCTCTCAACTCCCACAGCACCCCTGGGTGCCCCGGTATATAGGTTGAGAACTGCTCGCCTGGACCTTTATCATGGCCTGATACGTCACTCACTGAATAGCTTCTTCATGTTTGTTGAAGACTGTGATGAGCAGAAAAGACACCAAGTGTAGAATGTAGTCCTGTAGAAAATTGGTGCGATGTGGAGTCACGTTGTCAGCAGTCGCGTGTGACACACTCAGCTAAACCCCATTAACCCGCGACAGCAACGGCATCTAGACCTAGCTGCTCAACATTCAGAATTTCGAACACCCCCCTACCCCGGGATCGCGAAAATGGAAGTACAGGGTGTTCCATATGTCCTGTTGCCTCATGTGTTTCTTATGATATACTCCGTATTAATTATGTTTCTCATGTGATACAATAGGCCAGTGTACTTAACGAGTTCTTCGCTTCCGTGTTCACTGTCAAATCAGACTTATCATGATCTTTCTTCATTTCTTTTTTCCTGTATTGATTGATTTTTATCTTCTCTGACTGAAAACAATAAAAAAGATTTTTGAAAAATCAACCTAGGCTGGCCATACGTACACAGCAATCCACAACTGCCTCCTACCAACGCCATACCCACATTGACAGGTCACATGTACTCAACCTTGCACAACCTCTTCGCGGATGATCGATCGATCGAGCCTTGGCCCAATAGTGGCAACACTCACATAGGCGGCGATTCATAGGGGCTCAGGAGGCTCGAACCCCCCAAAAGATTTGGCAGAAATGGTTCGCAGTGAGGACGAAAATAAGGAAAATTTGGAGTACTGTCTCTGAGCCTCCCCGAATTTCCAACAAATAGCCGCTTATAAGATTAAAAAATTGCGACTTTTTTTTTCAAAATTGGGCCACAGAAAAACTTATGGAAGTAGTTATGATTTCTTGGTTTCATGCTTTAAAATGGTCTATCATTCAGCTTTCTAGCTTGAGTAGTTTGGGAAATGTTATTGATATATTTGTCCGAGGAGTCATTTTACCCTTCCCTCCCAAACTCGAAAGGGGGCATTTCTCGAAGATCGTTGCACCTAGACTGCTGACATTTTGGATTTCTCCAGTCCCCATAACCTCCAGTACATAATGGGTCTTGTTTTGAAAGGGTTACTAACAACTTAGTAGCTACTAAGTCTCTACTATCTCAAGTTGTGACTAATGTGTATTTTCAAAGAGAAAGGTTAGTGGTTACTAAATAGCTGCTAAACGTAATAAAATTTTAGTAGGTGTTGGAGGGTTGCCTAAAAGGCAACTAATTATTCTAGGTCTGTCAGTTATAGACGTATTACGTGCGATTGATGCAGAACGTGAACTGTATAATCGATACAGGCCAATAATATGCATCAAACAATGTACTGGATACGATGAACCGCATGCATAGCCATGTTGTCAACGGGAGACCTTCCTTGCAGTCTATTTAAATAAAAAGGCTCTAAGTTTTCAATTTCCCATCGGTTCAACGATGTAGGAACACTGGATCGGACTTCGATGGACAATCCCATATCCACGTTAGATAGGCCTACTTGAATTCGGCGTGGCCCAAATCTTCACCCGTTTTATTGAAATATTAAGGAAAACAGTAATGGGTGACACGAAAGCCTAGTTTTTCACGACATTAAATTAGCTTGCAATATATTGTGTATTTGGGAAGGTTCATATTTATTTTCCTTCTTCAGCAGGAAATTAATCATCATCGGTGTCGCCAATGTCATCACGACATCTGCACATAAGAATGGAACTCCTTGTTTCTGCGTCGATCCGCTATATCACCTTCACCATGCACCGTTGTCGAAGTCAAGTGAAAACATGTCTAACTCAAGTGAAAAACACTGTAATAAAATTTTAGTAGGTGTTGGAGGGTTGCCTAAAAGGCAACTAATTATTCTAGGTCTGTCAGTTATAGACGTATTACGTGCGATTGATGCAGAACGTGAACTGTATAATCGATACAGGCCAATAATATATTTGGACCAAGGGAATCCCATTGAATTCTACGAGGAAGTTTCACTGCAAGTGTGTGCATATTTGCGCTTCATGACAACATATCATTTCCAGAGAAGCGATGGTGACTTGACTGGACTGTCACAAAGCTCTGAGTCTGTGATTGTGTAGTCAGTTGCTACCAGTCGCCATCAGTTTTCTGATCTTCAACGTTTAGCGACACTCATAATGATGTCGTTATTCTATATCTGCAAGATGAATGCCCGACCTTGGCACAAGGTGTCGTAAAGGAAAAATATGCATTTTATGACGTCTCTACCCGAACCTTGAACTTTAAATATGTCCTATTTATTCTGTTCTTCCATCAATTAGCATACAATGGACATGTGAAAAAATCTATTCTGAAAGCAATACCATTCTCCAACGTGGAGTCTGACGCTTGCTATTTTCGCTCGCAGTGTTGCCCAATCTATTTCAAACCCAACTGCAACTAAATTAGTAGCTACTAACAAGTCAGAAGTTAGGGAGTTTTTTAGAATACCATTTTTTAGTAGCTACTGGCTAGTAGCTACTTAACGCTAGGCACCACTAAAGTGAATAGCGCTCCGAAAATATGATCCAATACCCACCGACAGGAATTTTCTGTTGGTGCGGCAACCAACCGTTTCAAATTGGACCACTTAACATAGAATAACAAATGGATTTGAATGGGGGCCCAATACCTTGTGCTTTCTCCAGTGTGCCATGTAGTAGCTAAGTATTGAAAGACGGGGCACCGGGAAGATATCCATCTCTTGGCCATGCACCTAGGCAGTGGCGTAGCGTGGTTAGCATGGGCCCTGGTGCAAGGAATGAAATGGGGACCACTGTCCAATTTGTTATTACTGAATTATGTGGGAGTCATTTTTTTAAATAGATTTTCCCCGGCAGCATATAAATCGTCGTCGGTAGCTGAAGTCAGTGGAGGGCAGTGGCGGATACAGAAATTTGTTATAGCCCCCCCCCATCTACCATCACCCTCTGTCCTATTGCCTTATTCATTTTTGTCTGGGGTAAAAATCCTGAATATCTATTTCACAAGAGCTAATAAACAGTAACTTATGTGCTTTCTGCATCAAAAAATAGATCGCGAACTTGGTCAGAGGAGAGGCAGTCGTCCCCCCCTCCTGCTACTTTACGCAAATACTTAACGTGTTCAGTTTCCTTCGAGGGCCCTCTGGGAAAGTGGGGCCCGGGACAACAGCTCCCTTTGCCCCTCCCCCCTTAATCCGGCCCTGGGTGAATGGTATTGGAAGTGGCCACCACTTCATTTAACCACACGAAGCAGCGTCCCAGTTGCAAGATGTCTCTGTGCAATGTCAGGTTGAATTCCTTCGATTCCTTTCGACCTTTCTTGACTCTCACTTCGTCCCAATGCCAAGGGGCTCCCAGCATACGCCCCCCCCCCCCTTCTTCATAGCTCGGCGTCTGGGCCCCTCTGGCCCGTGGGCCCCGGTGCAGTCGCACCGCCTGCACATTCGGTAGCTACGCCACTGCACCTAGGCTTTCTGGTCATCGCATACAGACCGCAAGTCGTCCATGCTCTGAGGAAGATTCCCTTGTCATTGTCCACAGACACGTTGCGTGGTACGTCACAATATGGTGTATCGGTCACTAGTACATCTAAAATATAATGGAGAGAATCCATGTCTCATACTTTTTCTCCATTCAAACAAAATTCAGCAAGAAACCCATTCCCCTTTAAATAATAGTCTCAACATTAAAAGCCTCGCCCTGGTGAACGTTTTTGGCAATTTTAGCGTGATATGGGCAAACCACCGCTAGCTACTCCACATCGTGAAAAACACATTCAGCCACTTCAACATTGGCTCAACCTTGGCAAGCCACAAATTCCCAATATTGCACACCTACTTCCAACCAACGCTGTACCAACATCGGCACGTCACATGCACTCAATCATATGCATCCACTCCGCCGACGATCTACCGATGTTGCCCTAATCTTGAAAGCACACATGCAGTCTACATTGCGAGCCCACTTTTAATCAACGTTAGACCAACATTATTAGCCCACCTCCGCAATCAGCCAACAATGCCAACCTTCAGGCAATGCAGGCGCAATGTTTCATGCTATTAGCGATGCGTAACAAACGAGTTGGAAGCAGTTTTATAATGATTTCGTAATTTGACAGATTCCCAATCTCTTTCGACCTCAGAATGTTGTCATACGAGATGCATGTATCTCCTATTGGAGCTGGACGCACTCTACAGTGCTTTGCAAATGAATTCGTACCACCTTTAACATTGCGCATGGTAACTCAATGGAGCATCCAATGCGACGGCAGAGGTGGTACAACTATTGTTTCCATTCCAGAGGATAGATGTCTCCCTCCCTCTTCATAGCATCACATCGCACCAATCGGTCAGTCTCTCGGAATACAGCAAAGCTGACGTCACGCGGCCCGTATGAAAGGATAGACGAGTCGTAGAGACACGATCATTGCTGAGCCCTGGTTGTAAAATACCCGACGTACTTCAAGTCTATGTTGAGCTGTCTATTTGAAGATAGCGAAGGCCGTCGACATCCTTGATTTAAGTTTTTTTTCTATATTTAGCAGAATGCCTAAAAATCTGTTGGTACGATGGAATACCTGACCTGAAGCCGAAGACATTGTTCCATAGCTATCCTTCTTTGTATTCAGCTTCTACAGTATATGCTTCCCCCTTACAACGAATACTTGATTGTTTCTCTCGAAATTTCCCTGGCGCGATTCATCATTCCACGTCTTCCTGGACCCTCTTGTAAAACCTTTGTTCTTTCAACCCATCATTTTCCTCACAAAAGAATTTTTTTTAATATTTATTCTTGGCCTCTACGTTCTTCGAACACTGTAATTCACTCTACATACTTTGGATGTCGCCCAAGCGCAGCAACGAAAGCGCCGCCATCCAGGTTGGGAGGATTCCTCCATAGAAGAGCATGGGCCCCATGTTAAAAGAGGTACGAATTCATTTGCAAAACACTGTATGCCGGACATCACGTATCTTTATGACCGCGTGAATTTCCATGGAAGCTTGCCATAGCAAATTGAGCGCCTACAGCATGTGGGCAACGGGACTCATCCTTAAGAGCCTGAGTTGAAAAAAAAAATCTGACCATTTTTAGTTTCCGGTCAGTATCATATCACCCATCAACGATGGGTGAGAGTTCCGCTCGTAGTCTCCGCAAGTTAACAAGACAGGTGTGAAAGAGGCCAAGGATTGTGACCA